CCCTCAGGACCTTGTGCAGTGGGCCCTGTTAGTCCTCCCACCAGCCGCTCTGGTGGCTTTCTTGTGCCCATTTCACAGATGAGGAAATTGAGGCTCTGAGGGGCTGACTGCCCAGAGAAAGCCCAGAGTGCGAGCCCCCTGCCTTTGCTGCCATGTGGCGGGCTGCACCCCAGCTTTGCCCTGGGCAGTCACAGCCCCTCTGCACCTTGTCCTGTCCGCAGCATGTGCAGAGTGACGGCTGCTCTCGTAGCAGTGTGGTGAGGGTGGGGGAGATGATTCAGCTCTAGCCTTAGTGTCCCTGTGGGATGGCACCAAGTACGCAGTCTTCCTGCAGCTGCTGCCTTCTTCCCCCCTGATGTGTGCTCCCACCAGATTGCCTGGTGCTCCACTCCCAGTGTCCCTTCCCCAAGGTGGGACCATCTGAGGGCAGTGCACACAGGCCTTGCTGAGATGCAAGAAAAGGACCCACAAGCAGGAACGGAAGGGAGCACAGGGCTGGGTGGGATGGCATGGAAGCACCAGGTGGAGGGCTCAGCAGGGTGGTCCTGTCGTCATCCCCGTTTAATAGCTGAGGAAATCAAGGCTGGTAGGACTCATCCAAAAACAAAGAGCTGGCCTGTTGCAGGGCTGGGATTCAAACCAAAGGTGCTCTGAATTCCTGCCCAGGGAGACCCACTCAGGGGCCTATGTCTTCCTATTTGGCACTGAGCCTGGAGACCCTCCCTCAGTGCTGTACCTGGGCAGGGATGGGCTCTGCTAGGGGTGGAGTAGGGACAAGGAAGGGGTTCAGTACACAGAGGAGTGGCAATGGGCAAGACTCCAGGTCAGGGAGACCCAGTCCCAGGCAGCGTCCCTGGGTGGGTCCAGCACAGGGTAGATGCCAGCTGGTCCCACTTGGCCCCTGTGGGCTCTGCCCACTCCCTGAGGGCATTCTGGGCCCCTTCCTGGAAACCTGCCCTTTCAGGTAGCTTGCCAGATGGTGGCTGTGCTTCCATCCCGCTCCAGCCTCTTTAATGTGCTCTTTATAAAAAGTGCTGATTTCAAAACAGCCTGCTTGCACTAAAAAGCAAAGTCATTTTATTTTTTTTAATTAAGGTATCATTGATATACAATCTTATGAAGGTTTCACATAAGCAACATCATGGTTTCAGCATTCACCCGTATTATCAAGTCCCCACCCCGCACCCCACTGCAGTCACTGTCCATCAGTGTAGTAAGATGCTATAGAGTCATTACTTGTCTTCTCTGTGCTGTACTGCCTTCCCCGTGACCTACCTATATTGTGTGTGCTAATCATAATGCCTCTTAATCCCCTTCTCCCTTCCTCCCCACCCCCTTCTCTTTGATAACCACTAGTCACTTCTTAGAGTCTGTGAGTCTGCTACTGTTTTGTTCCTTCAGTTTTGCTTCATCGCTATATTCCACAAATGAGGGAAATCATTTGGTACTTGTCCTTCTCTGCCTGGTTTATTTCACTGAGCATAGTATCCTCTAGCTCCATCCATGTTATTGCAAATGGTAGGATTTATTTTCTTTATATGGCTGAATAATATTTAATTGTGTATCTGTACCACTTCTTCTTTATCCATTCATCTACTGATGGACATTTAGGTTGCTTCCGTATCTTGGCTATTGTAAATAGTGCTGCGATAAACATAGGGGTGCATCTGTCTTTTTGAATGAGGGATCTTGTTTTCTTCAGGTAAATTCCTAGGAGTAGAATTATTGGGTCAAATGGTATTTCTATTTTTAGTTTTTGAGGAACCTCCATATTGCTTTCCACAACTGCTGAATTAATTTACATTCCCACCAGCAGTGTAGGCGGGTTCCCCTTTCTCCACATCCTAGCCAACATTTGTTTTTCCTTGTCTTTTGGATGTTGGCCATCCTGACTGGTGTGAGGTGATATCCCATTGTGGTTTTAATTTGCATTTCCCTGATAATTAACAATGTGGAGCATCTTTTCATGTGCCTGTTGGCCATCTGAATTTCTTCTTTGGAGAAGCTTATGGTGTCCTTTGCTGTACAGAAGCTTTTTAGTTTGATGTAATCCCATTTGTTCATTTTTGCTTTTGTTTCCCTTGCCTGAGGAGATGTGTTCAGGAAAAATTGCTCATGTTTATATTCAAGAAATTTAAAGCAAAGTTACTTTAAAAGTGACAAAATAGATGTACATGACATTTAGAAAAGTTACCAAATAGTTTACCAAGATGTAGCATGGAGTTGCTGCCCAGCTCCCTCACAGTAAACTCTATGTTAGTGTGGTTGTGGGGGCTGCATGTTTTCTGTGCACTTATGTACACTTATATTAATGTTACTTAAAAATGACCAATGTGGGATCTTGTGCAGTCGGGGAATCCAGTTGTGGGGGCCTGAGACTAGCTGCTGTAGGAAGGGTCACTGCCCCAGCTGAAGGGATGGGCCTTCCTGGCCGCTCCTTCCTGTGGCCTGCTGGGGTCTGCATTGGCTGGTCCCAGGAGGGGCATGGTCACTGAGGACTGAGGCCCCCACGCAGGCAGGGAGCCTTGGGAGAGGAGCAGCATGGTAAGCCAGGGTCAGGTGGGAAGGGCAGCCCAGAGGCTGTCCAGGATGCATGGCCTGGGCCCACCCTCCCGGGGGAGGTGACTCCACCCTGAGCATCTTTCCCTTACCTTTCCATACCCTGTGAGGGCTGAGGCTCCCTAGGGTGTAGCTAAGGACTATTGCCTAATACCGAACTTGGCACCCACGTCCTGGTAGGCTTGCCCACCCCCTGGGGAGCAGAGCCAGGAAGCCAAGTCCCCAGGCTGAGTCCCTGCTGGCTCCCAGCCTCCAGGTAGCCTCCCTACCACTGGATATCCCTGGAGTCTGGACACAGAGTGGCCTGCTCTGTGGGGGATCTGGCAGGGGCTGTGAGAGTTCATGGGGTGTCTGAGTGTACCTGCCCATGGCCCCTTCAGTCTGTTCCCTCTGCAACGGGAGGCCAGCAGCTCAGAAAACCCATCTCTGAAGGGGTCAGGAGGCCCAGCTCACCAAGTTGACTGCTGTTGGGTCACCTTTTGAGCCTAGAACTGTGTGACCTTGCAGATGCTGTCCCATGGTGCTTGGGCTTCAGGTAAGGTGCCGGGGCTTGGGTCCCTTGGGAGCCAGCAAGTGCACAGGAGAACAGCTGTGGGTACCAAGGTGCTTAGGGAGCCCACCTTTGTTATTTTATCCCATAAGTGGTTAATGGGCCAGGCTCTGGCTAGGCAGTAGGACGTGAAATGGAATAATCAGTCACTTGGAACAACATGGTCAGCAGTCTAGGGTTTAACCCAGGGCGGCTTCCTGGAGGTGGTGATGCCTGGGCTGGCCTTGGAACTCCTAGGATTTCCTCAGCTGAGTTCCTTCCCACTGAGCCTGTTTCATCATCTGAAAAATGAAGGATTTGTTCAAGTCATGGTTTCTCAGACTTGAGTGGCACCAGAACCCTGGCGGGGGCCTTGTTAAAACTCAGATCAAAGGCCCACCCTGAGTTTCTGACACAGGGGCAGGGCCCAAGAATGTGCATTCTAACATGTTGAGGAGAGTGTTGTGTGAGTCCAAACCCTGATCCTGGAGAGAGGCAGCACAGAACCTGGGGCCTAGGACATTCTAGCCCAGCCTTGTTTGGAGCTTTTCTTGTGCTCTCAACCTCTGTGCAAAGTGTTCCTGGGAATTCTCAGGCAACCTTCAGTTATTCGTCAGGCAGGTATTTGAGCCCGGTGCCCTTTACCCCTGGTGTGAGGCACAGTTGATGTCTGTGCCATGGGAGTCATCTCTGCTTGTACCATCTTGGAGGCAGAAGCCGGGGTCCCTTATGGCAGTAAAATAATCGTGGCTATAACTTGCTCTGCAGAGTCGGGAAGCTGAGGCCAGACTGGCTCAGAGACTTGCCTGGTCCAGGTCAGAGAGCTGGCTGGGCTGGGCCGGCTGCATCACTGGTTGGGGTGGTCCTGCCACCTTGGGAGCCGAGGAGGGAGGGGTGTGTGTTTTCCCCTTCCGCAGGCTCCAGGAGGTGGAGAAGCAGCCTGGGTGGCAGGTGCAGGGCTGGTGCCCAATGGCCAGCACCCACCAGACCGGAGAAGGCACAGCGTGACCATGCCCTGTCAAGGCAGGAAGGCCCAGTTCCCATGGGGACCTGAGCCCAGTGCCAGAAGGGAGCACAATGTGCTCCTCAGGCTGGTCAATGTGAATCTAGCCTCAGGCTGGTCAATGTGAATCTCCCTGAGGCCCTTACAGCCTCTCTCAGGGTGGCCCCTGCCTTGGGAAATGGGAAACTGAGGCCCAGAGGGCCGTAGACTGTCCCAGGCCTCACCAGAGCTTCTAGTACAGGCCCCACTGCAGCATGAGGTGGAGACCAGGTCACACCAGGCCAGGCCACTGTGGGCAGCCCCAGGAGCACTGAGCCCTCCTGCCTCCCCCACCCTGCTGCTCTGCTGCCCCTCTACAGCCCAGTATCTGCATCTAACAGGCATTTCAAATTCAACATGTCCAAAGCCAACTTCCAGATCTCTTCCCAAACCTACCCTCATGTTCTTCCCTGTGCTTGCTCAGGCCCAAGACCATCTTTCACAGCGTCCAGAGTCGACCCTCCTCTGCTGTGACTATGCCTAGAATGTTCCTTTCTTATCTCAGAGAGCTGCATAGCTAATGCCATCAGTCTATTCCAGTGCCCTTACCTGAGGCTGCCCTGACCACCCCGTGCATACCTGGTGTTCTCTTCCCGGGTGTTATTTCTCTCCGTGGTTTCTCATCTCCCACTGAGATGTAACCCCAGAGGCAGGGCTCTGCGTGTTCTGGCCCCTGGAGTGAGGCCTGGGATGCACAGAACAGGAGCTGTGGGGCCACCCAGGAACCTGCCAGCCCAAGTTGATATCTAATGCCCACCCCTTGCCCTTGGTGGGGGTGCCTCTCTGGGACCCACTGGGGGGTCTCCAACATGCAGGCCTAGGGGGATCTGGGGGGGTGCCTTTCATGTTTGGCCTCGTCTTCTCTCCCAGGAAACTATGCCCCAGACGTCCGCCGTCTTCTCCAGCATACTCGGGCCTGGCTTTAGTGGACAGGTGCCACCCGGCATGGGGGAGCGAGGAGGTGGGGCTGGTGGCTCCGGGGACCTCATCTTCCAAGACGGACACCTCATCTCTGGATCCCTGGAGGCACTGATGGAGCACCTGGTCCCCACGGTGGACTATTACCCTGATGTGAGTGTCTGCAGCCTGGAGAGGGCTGTCCCTGGTGTGGGCAGCCTGGTTCCAGAGGCTGCCTCTGGGGTGGGGGAAAGGCCCAGAAAGAGCTGGATGGAGCAGTGGGGGGATGCAGGGTAGCCATCGGGGAGCCCCAGCCCCACCTCCTGTGCCTGCCTTGCCTCCTTCTGTGTCCCTGCCCCTGGGCAGTTGGGAGATGGCCTGGTAGCCCAAAGAAGCAGGCAAGCAAGGAGAGAGGCAAGGCTTAAGTTTTGAGCAGGGCCTGAGGCAAGGAAGGGGCATCTAAAGGCCTTGGGGTCCCTGCAAGGGTCCACCCAGCATGAGCCCTGTTTCTAAGCGGGGAGATTTGGTCTGTGCACGAACTATCATAGTCCAGAATATAGCGGGGACAGCCCTGCCGTGCCAGCATGCAGACCCCAGGGCCCGCCCGCGTGGGCAGGACTGGCCTTCAACCACAATCTCCATCTTCCCTCTTCACCTCAAGATGACATCAGGACACTGTTGGGACAGGAAGTTCCTTCATCATGTGGCTTCCCTTGTGCCTCCGAAGAGGGACATCTCTTAGCAGTGGTGGTGCTGGGCCTGCCTGCTCCCTTTGGAGTGCTTAGCCGCACCAGCCCCCTCCCCGGGGCAGAGTCCTGTGTGCTGGCCTTGGCGGTCAGACACAGCTTGCGATGTCGGGCAGGGGAGGCACTGCCCCCTCTGCACTCTAGCTTCTATGTGCTGACACTGGTGTCGGCTCAGCTTCCGGGGGTTCCAGGCCCACCCAACGTGTCAGGCCTTATCCCCCAGTCCTGGGGCTCAGTCTGTTCTCCATCTGCCCTTCCATCCATCTCAGAAACCCTCGTGGGGCCTGGCTGGGGCTGGTGTGGTGATACAGATGTAGCTGAGGGTCCAGGTGGCAGAACCAAGAAGAGGGCACTTGAGGCCCTTTGAAGCAGTCCAGGCAAGGCTGTGCCCGGCCCCCCTCCACCCTGGCTCTGGGACTTCCGAGTCCAGGGTTGTTTGGGTGAGGGGGAGCTGTGGTTTTGTGGGAGGACCCTCCCCTTTTAGATCTGTTCCAGAGGAGCCTCCTCAGCAAAATGTCACCCAGTGTCATTCCCGAAGTACTGTGCCCTGGGATGCCAGCCTGCTTTCCAGGAGAATGAAATGGAGGTGGGAGTAGGAAGGTGCCCCTGGGAGAGTCTGGGAGGGCAGCAGCTGGTGCTGAACTTCTGGGCACCCCACCCTTCCCTCACTGCCCATGTGGGCAGCTGGGTCACAGGCACTAGGAGCCCCCATGCTGCTCAGAGAGGCACAGCTCCTCCCCGGGGGCCCCGCCGGCCTTTGGCTGAGAACTCTGAGGTGACACCTGGTGCTTCTGTCTGACATCTGAGCCACAAGCTTAGACGCAGAGCCACTGACCACTGGGACCCCTGAGCACCACGCTGCCTGGCCTGGGGACAGGACATAGGTCTTGTGGGTGCCCCTGAGGGCTGCATGGGGCAGTGGGCCTGCAGCCTCAGTCCTGTTCCAGGAAGCCCGTACTCCCACAAATGCAGCACAGCTTGCTGTGGGCTGAAGGAAGGAAGACCTTTTCCTCTGAGCCCAGAGTGGGGTTGGGGGCCTGAGCCCCCCAATCTGCAGCAGCCATGTGGGAGTAGAGTCCCCAGCAGAGCCCCGAGCAGTGTCGCCCACCCCCAGGTCTGACCTGTCTGCAGACAGGGGCCAGTGTAGCTGTCTCACTGGCTCTGATCCATGTCAGACAAAAGGCTTCGGAGAACCCTCTGCCCAGGCCCTGTTCCCTGCCACCTCTCAGTCCGGATCATGAGGACCCCTCAGAGCCTTATCACACAGCCCAGCAACAAGGGCACGTGGACGTGGGACAGAAGGGCTCTGATGAGGCAGGTGGGGACAAGGCCCCAGCGGGTTAGGGGCTGCATGGGGACTTGCTTGATAGGGGTGCTGCGGCCGAGGAGGTCCTGTCCCGCCCCACAGACAAGGCCTCATCCCACCACCGAGAGACCTTGGGCAAAGCCAGTGAGGGTCTGGAGAAGCAGGCTTGGAGCCCGGCCCAGGGAGCACCACGGGCTGGGCAGCAGGCTGGAACAGGCCCAGAGCGTCCCACCAACATCCAGGCTGGGTTTAGCTCCGTGCTTGGGGAAGGCTGAGGGTGGGGAGAATCCCAGCAGGGCAAGACTGCTAGGATGGAGCTTGTTGGGGGGCTTCCATGAGCTGCTGGGAATTGGGGTTTGAGCTGTGCTGTGCGCGGGTCAGGGGTGGGGGGGATTTGGCAGCAGGAAGAGAAGGAAGGGCATTCCAGGGGAAAGGAGAAGGCATGGCCACTGGCTGGTACCCCTGGGTGCAGCAGACCTGGCCCACCATCCTGGAGGCCAGGCCAGGCCCAACCCACTCTGCCCCTTTTTGGCTCCTTTCTTCAGAGGACATACATCTTCACATTTCTCTTGAGCTCCCGGGTCTTCATCCCACCTCATGACCTGCTGGCCCGAGTGGGGCAGATCTGCCTGGAGCAGAGGCAGCAGCTGGAGGCCGCGTCTGAGAAGGTAAAGGTGTGCTGCCAGGGTGCTGTCTCTACACCCCTCCACCCTGTCACTCATGCGAGACAAGTGTGCTCACAGTAAGCAGGCCGGGCAGAGTCTGGCTGAGCACGGCCTGGGCACTCCCTCACTGGGTCTCGGGCCTCCTGGACCAGCTGGGGCGCAGCTCCCTGGAGCCCAGCAGCGCACACAGGGCCGAGCACTCTTCCTGGCAGTCTGGAAGCAACTGCTCTTGGTGGGCACTTGCAGCCCATCCTGGGGAAGGGACACAGCAGGCAGCTCTGCCAGATCTCCTAGTCAGGCCAGGGCTCCTGAAATGGAGGCCTGGCTACAGCTGGTAGAAAGGAACCCAGTGGGGCCTGTGTCACCTCCCCTCTCTGCACACAGTAGGCATTTTCAGTGACTCAAATAGGGCTGTTTGTCAACTGTTGACTTTTCTGATGGAGCCAAGCTTTGGGTGGCTAGGATGGTCAAGAAACCACAGTTTGTCCTTGAAGCCCTGCAGGCAGGGGCAGCAGCTTAGGGTGAAGCTTTTAGAAGCCTAGGGTCTGGTGCAGAAGAAGCAGTGGTGGGCATGTGTCAGAGCTTCCTGGGCCTATACTGGGCTGCAGCAGAACATGGTCTGTCCCCATTTGCTGCTGACCCTCCCCTCCACAGACTGGGCCTCCTGCTTCCACAGGTTTATAGCAAAGGCCTGTGAATGCCATGTAACCCTCAGAGCCTCCTCTCCAGGCGGGCTGACCCCAGGGGTGGGGGGCAGGGTTGTAGCACTGACCCTAGCGTGGTGGGCAGGAAAGGCTCCCAAAAGCACAGGTGGAAGTAAGTGCAGGTGAGAGGGGAGATGAGATTCTAGGCTAAGAGTCAGTGTGGGGACCCTAGAAGCCTGGGGGGAGCCTGCCAGCTTGTGTCCATGGTCATATGTGCTATTGGGCCTCTGAGGAAGGAACACAGGGCTCTCTTTCTAAGAATGGGGTGCTGTGGACATCTGGGGGAAATGTCTGTGAGGCCTCCTGAGATGCTGTGTTCCCTGGCCAGGAGAGGCTGCAGGGAGCTAGCGGGCCAGCTGGGAGAGGCACTGCATGGCCAGAGAAGCCATCCCTCATGACCACCTAGGGAAAGGGGCCATGGCTGGGGTCTGGGCTGGGGGTGAAGGTGGGCACAGGAGGGTTGTGGGCTTGTTTGGGCATTTCAGTAGGACAGTGTGGGGCTGGGCATGAGGGCCGTCCGGGATGCTGGGGCCCAGCATGTGGCACCCCCTTCTTGGGCTGTAAGTGCCTGGGCCTGGGGCAACAGCAGGGGCCTCCAGATGCCTTTAATGATATGAAGCTGGGAAGAGGACACTACCCGTGTTTGCTCTGTGCCCCCTCCCAGCTCTGCTAACCTCATTTTAATGGAGGAGGCAGGAAAGAGTCTCTCACTTAATGTTAATAATTTTGCTTGGTTTTCTTTATGTTTTCTTCTGGGTAACTTCTAATTACAGCAAAAGAAAGCTGTTTTCTGTGTCATGGTAGTGACAGGACAGGTTTTTTGCAAATGAACTTGAGTGAGAAAGAGCCGACTTACAGGGAATATGAAACAGCAGGTGTGACAGAACCTCATGCAGGGTGGGGATTGTCTGTCCAGAGGCCCCCAGGTGCTGCGAGGTGGACTTGGCTCTGGAGGGTGTCTGGGGGCCCCAGGGAACATGGGGAGCCCGGTACCACTGGTCATCTTGTTGCTCACTCTGGAGGGTCAGAGGACTCATGCTCGCCCTGCTGTCCCAGGCCAAGCTGAAGTCCTTCTCAGCCAAGATGGTGCAGCTGCTACAGGAATGGACGGAAGCGTTCCCCTACGACTTCCAGGATGAGAAGGCCATGGCCGAGCTGAAGGCCATTACCCACCGGGTCACGCAGTGTGATGAGGTAAGGCCCTCCTTGGCCCCTGCCAGGGCTCTTTAGGTAGGCCTGGGGCAGGGGTCTACTCTCACAGGAGGGTGGGTCTTCAGGGACAGCTCTCTACATGGTCCCTTTTGCCGTCACTCCCCCAAGAGGACTCCTGGGTGACCCCATCTGCCCCCACCCTCGACACCTCAACGGGCCAGACTTGCCCTCGGCACCTCTGCCTGAGGGGACTCGAGCATTGGGCAGGAGGAGCCCAGGCCCTACCGTCTGCATGGCTTTGGGTGGGTAGAGTGGGGGCCTCACAGGAGGCCGTTTGAGGCTGCCTACTTTCTGGGCTCCCAGGTCCTCCAGCGGACAAGCTGTGTGCTCAGAGAGCCCAGAGAGCTTTGGGAAGGGCCAGGGCTGCCCCCACCCAGGGAACGAAGGCTCCTGGCCCAGGAAGAAGCCCTCTAGATGCCTTATCAGCTGGCCACTACCCGGGAAGCCATGCTTTTCAGACCAGAAGCCTACCCTTGGCCCTGACCTGGCCCTCGGCTCTCACTCCCACAGGGCAGACAGCTGGGTGCCCTCCCCAGCAGTACTCAGAGAAGCCCGCATGGTACCGACTCTGTCACCAAAGGCCCAAGCTTTAAGGGCAGGTGTGGGTGAAGGATGTGGGTTCAAAGTCAGGCATGTCCCTGCAGATGAGAAGGGCCCGTCCAAAGAGGTGGTGGTCTTGCCACCAGCCCACACCAGCACCTTCCTTGCCTCTGACCCACAGGAGAATGGAACGGTGAAGAAGGCCATTGCCCAAATGACACAGAGCCTGCTGCTATCCCTGGCTGCTCGGAGCCAGCTTCAGGAGCTTCGGGAGAAGCTCCGCTCACCGGCCATGGACAAGGGGTCCATCCTCAAGGCCAAGCCACCAGCTGCTCAGAAGGACATCCTGGGAGTGTGCGCTGACCCCCTAGTTCTGGCCCAGCAGCTGACTCACATGGAGCTGGTCAGTCTGCAGGGCCCCCCAGCAGCTAGACTAGGGTCAGGTGAAGCCTGCTTGCCTGTTCCAACCACTGCTTTGGCGGGTGTATCCACTTGAGCAGTGGGTTCTCTGTGCCTGATGCCTGGGTCTCTGGGTTACAGTAGCCCATGTTAATGGGAGGGGCTGGGGCAATGGGGACCACAGTGGCCCAGGATGGGGGATTGGCCTGGGCAGAAGTGAAGGGCTTCCAGAGGGAAAGCCAGCTCCCCAGCCAGCTCCCCAACCTGTCACCTCTTCCTGCCTGTGTCTTGGGCTGGGAGGGTACCCTACACCCAGCAGCTACTGCCCCATGGCTTCCGCCTCCCTCCCATGCAGCCCTGTCTCCTCCCTTCCAGAACCCTGCGTACACTGGGGGTGCTGGGCAGGGCCTGTGCACAGAAGGGCTGAGGTGCAGCCTGCAGGGAAGTCTCAGGTGACCATCCCCTATGCTCTTGAGCATGGGGCTATGCCTGCCTGACGATGGACAGCTTATGACCCCAGCATTCCTCTCCCTCCCCACCTGTCCAGGAGAGGGTCAGCAGCATTCACCCTGAGGACCTGATGCAGATTGTCAGCCACATGGACTCTCGGGACAAGCACAGGGTGAGGGGTTGGCGGGTACTCTGGGGTGGCCTGAGGGTGGGCCTGGCACCACACCCCACACAGGTGGGTAGGGGCCTCCTGAGGGTGAGGCCTCACAATTCAATGGATGTGGGTCTGGCTTCCTGGCCCCTGCTCCTGGGAGCTGGTGGATGGCCATGTGGGGTGGTGCATGCTGGGAGGGGGCCCAGTGGTCCCAGGGTCCTGGGGAGCCAGCTGGGCTGTCAGCTTAGTCCTGAGGGGCCTGGGGTAAGGGCCCACAGAGGGCACCCACCCAGCTTCCCCCACCTACCATCATTTTCACAGTCCCCTCCTCCAGCTCCAGCTCCTGCTTCTTGGTTCTGGGGCTAGGGCTGGGGCAGCATCCACCGGCAGGGTCTTCGGGTTCCCTGTGACCTGCTGTGTCCCCCCAGTGCCGAGGGGACCTGACCAAGACCTACAGCCTGGAGGCCTACGATAACTGGTTCAACTGCCTCAGCATGCTGGTGGCCACCGAGGTGTGCCGGGTAAGCTCTGCAGCACAACCTGGGTACGGGGGGTGCTGCTGAGGCTCTAGCTCCTGTTCCCCTCAGATGATGAAACATTCAAAGCAGAGGATGCCCCCTTTGTTAGGGCCCCGGAGGTGCCACCCCCCTACCCCATGGCCCGCAGTGATGCGTTAGATCATGAGAGCCACCGAGGAGGGCACACTGCCCAGCATGGCCTGTGAGCCCACTGGCAGCCCCCTTGGCACTCTCAGCCTGCCCTCCTGCCCCTCTGCCAGTGCTGGAAATGCCATGGCTGCATTTCCTGCCTCTGCAGCCTGCGGGTGCCCCCAACCATGGGTCTGACAGCTCTGTGGGCCCAGGGCGGCTTTGGGGCTGGAGGGGTGCCTGGTGGGCTCATGCGGAGGCTGTGCGGCTGCCCAGGCGGTGAAGAAGAAGCAGCGGACCCACGTGTTGGAGCTCTTCATCGATGTGGCCCGGGAGTGCTTCAACATCGGCAACTTCAACTCCATGATGGCCATCGTCTGTGAGTGTCTGGGCTGGGCTTCCCAACCAGCCTCTGTGTGGTCTGCCTCCCCTGCCCTGACCCCACCTGCCCTCCCTTGCAGCCGGCATGAACCTCAGTCCTGTGGCAAGGCTGAAGAAGACGTGGTCCAAAGTCAAGACAGCCAAGTTTGACGTCTTGGAGGTAGGCACCCCGCCTGCGTTGCTGGATGTGGAAGTGGGTTCTGAGGGCCTCCCAGCACACTTCGCGCCTCACTTAGAACTCAGTGCCCACAGTGCTCCCTGGGGTTGGGTGCGTCTAGCGGGCCTGGCCTGGCTGCCCTCAGGAGGGGTGTAGAGGAAGCTCTCCTCAACTCTGGGACTTCATTCGGACCTGGCATTGTCTACACAAGTTCTGGGGAGTGGCTAGCTTGACCAAAGAGGGCCCATGAGCCCCTTGTGGGTGATGCAGACTAAGCAGAGACTGGCCTCTTCCTGGCCTGGTTTACTTGGCCCTGGGTCACCTGAGCAGCCAGGGGCTGACAGTTTCCTGTGCAGCCTTGTCCAGATGTACCTGCCCACAGAATCCATTTCTGCCATCATGTGTTTTTGTGGAGCTGTTTAGGTTTGGGAGGAGTTAAGTCTAAGGAGAGGATCAAAGGAAGGTTTTGAAAGGAAAGGGGTGAGACCCAGGCTCCACAGAGCAGGAAGAGGCGAGCGAGAGCTGCGAGGCTTCCCTCTGCTTTCCTGGTGGAGCTCAGACCCCCGAAAGGCCCTGGCCCAGTGCTCAGCAAGGTGCCTCCAGGCAACCCCCTCCTGCACTCACTGCTGGAAAATAGATCTCTTGTGGGGACAGTCCAGGGCTTCCCAGGCAGGAAGTGCCTTCCCCATCAGCTGCTCCCTGCTTGGCAAGGGGCACCTGAGCAGGTCGGAGAGAGGCGGCACTGTCCACCACATCCTCTGCCCACAGCACCACATGGACCCATCCAGCAACTTCTGCAACTACCGCACGGCCCTGCAGGGGGCCACACAGAGGTCCCAGATGGCCAATAGCAGCCGGGAGAAGATCGTCATCCCTGTGTTCAACCTTTTCGTGAAGGACATCTACTTCCTGCACAAAATTCACACCAACCACCTGCCCAATGGGCACATTAACTTCAAGGTGAGCTCAGCCTGTTGGGGTCTGGGGGCATGGCCAGGCTCCCCACACACGGTGGGGAGTGAGGGTGTAGCCCCAGCCCTTATGGGTGAATGAGCTGGTTACAGAGCTTGGAGACAGAAGGGACCATTCTGAGAGGCTTCAGGCAACAAGGGCCTTGGGCAGAGAGAAGGTAGTAGAATTGTAGATGGAAGCTAAGGATACCTGGCCAAGGGCAGGAGGTAGCAACAGAGGTGACTGGGCAGGTGCAGAGGAGCTGGAATGTCCAGGTAAGGGGTGACAGGGAGTCACAGATTCTTACACAGAACCTGAAGACTGAGGTGGTGATGTTTTCTGATTGGCGATGCTGGGGTGGCTGGGATGCCTGCTTCAGCCTGGAGATGAAGATGGGGCATGCTTGGGGTCCCTGCATAGGGGAGGCAGAGACCCTGCTGCAGCCTGGTGGCCCAGTGGGAGGGCAGAGTGGCCTTGGGGACTAGGGAAGGGAGCAGCAGACTAAAACCAGAACCTGTGTCCCATGCCCTAACCAAGGATTTCAATCTTAGTGACAAATGAACATCTAGTTGGTCTTCTGCCCCTTCAGAAATTTTGGGAGATCTCCAGACAGATCCATGAGTTCATGACATGGACACAGGTAGAGTGTCCCTTCGAGAAGGACAAGAAGATTCAGAGTTACCTGCTCACAGCGCCCATCTACAGCGAGGAAGGTGAGGGCCACGACCCACACTTACATACCCGACTCCTGCCACGTCTAGGGCCTGAGCTACAGAGCGGAAGCTCAGCTTGCAGGGTTGAGAGCCTGAGGGAGGGTCGTGGGCAAACGACAGATAAGGACAAGCAGAGATCAGCTCTGGAGGCCACGTGAGAGCCAGAAGGGGGCTGGGCCAGCTGCAGAACCAGCACACTTGGCCGACTCCTGGATCAGGGAGCTGGGGGCTCTAGGGCGCAGGGAACCCCACGCTGTAGAGACCTGTGGATGAGCCCTGGCCAGAGGTCACTGTCCCTTTGGCCCGAAAGTTGACCCCCAGAAGGGAGTGTCTGAGAAGGGGAAACTGGTGCGGCAGGCAGACTGGCTGCATGCGGACGTGGGTTCTGAGGGGCTTCCCATCTCTTAGCTCTTTTCATCGCCTCCTTTGAAAGCGAAGGTCCCGAGAACCACATGGAAAAGGACAGCTGGAAGACGCTCAGGTAGGAAACTCCAAGGCCCGTCCTGTGAGCCCCCAGCCCAGCCCACACCTGAGCCTACTGGGAAGGGGGAGAACTGCGGTAGAGGAAGGCGTCCTGCCCCGGTGCAGGCGATGGTGGTGGGAGCTGAGGACGTGGGGCTCGAAGGTCCGGAGCTTCCCTGAATAGCATGTGTGCCCGGGAAAGGGCCTGCCTGCCAGTGCCTGACATTGCCTTGTGCCCCGCCTCCTTTAGGACCACCCTCCTCAACAGAGCCTGAAGGCACCGGAGCAGCCTGCCACCACTGGATGAAGCACACACAGGCACTGAGTTTCAGTCTTGATTGATAGGAGTAGAGATTAGGAGGCCTCACTGGTTGGGGTCCATTTTGTATATAACTTTTATGAAAAAAAGGGTAATTATTTCATGCATCAACCTTTAGCACTTATGAAGTTCTTTTTGTTTATTTTAAACAACAGGGCAGGGCCCTGCTTTGGGGAGGGAGGAGTAACATGGGAGATGGCATCCATGATGACATCTAATGGAATGGAGATTTTCTTTCTACTTTTTGATTATTAACACCTTACAGAAAAATATTTTAAAAAACCCAACCCAAACCAACACAAGCCCTGCCTGCTCGGATGCCCTTCCAGCCAGTGTCTCTGATGTCGGGGTTAGTGCCTTAGAGCGGACGGAGGGCCGGGCTCCCGCTCTGTTCTTCTAGCCCGCAGCCAGCCAGTGCCGCTGGGAAAGCTCTGCTCTCAAAGCCCGGGCCAGAGAGGTTCCAGCACGAGGGGCTTGGGTGGCAAGGGGGTCTGGGAGGCATACTTCTGGAAGTGAACCTTAGTGCAGGCTTTCCAAAGTTTACATTTTCATTTTCCTTTATCAGGGACTTAGAGGGTCGGGGAGGGGCAGGGGACACCTGGCAGTATCTTAGCTGCTGGAATGTATCTGGCAAATTGTTCTTCAACGTTTTAGGGAAGGAGAAAATCGAACACAGTGTCAGTGGGGGAGTCATGCAATTGTCAGTTTTCCAGGCTATCACTGAAAGACACTTGGTTGTAATGAAGAGAATACAAAGTAGACCTGAGAATGGGGACATTTAAAACCTTTCTTGAAACCAAGTACAAAATACAAAGAAGCAGGTCTCAAATCAGTATTCTGGTGGGCCGCTTCCTCCTTCCCTCCGAGTGGGCGCTCCCCTAACGAACTCTGAAACAGACAATCAGCTGGACCAGTCACTGCTGGAGCCCCCTCACATAATCTGCCCAACCTTTGGAGGTATTTTCCACACCCAAACTTGGCAAGTACACTCCATTTTCTGTCTGACGTCCTGGCTGTGTGACCGGGACAGCGCTGCTCCCTCCAAAGTCGGAGGTGGGCAATCCACACTGACTCCATCTCCCTCCTAGTGGGGCTCCTGTCTGCACAAGCAGATTTGGAACCAGTCACCCTTGTTTCTCTCTGCACGCCCGGCTTCCACAGGAGCCTCCAGTGGGGAGGCCTGGGTGAGGACGGGTCAGTTAGTTGCTAATTCCCAAAGCTGCTAGGAGAGGCTGCCATGTGAAGGTGAGGCCTCAGAAGGAGGGGGCTCCATGATCCTCTGCTCTGGGTGGAACAAGAGTATTCGCACTGTATTGTCACAGTGTTTTTGCACTTTTCAGATGTTCTAGATAGTACATATTGTATACTGATAGTATATATTGCTTTATGTATTTGAGATAAAGGCTTAAGAATTGAGAATATATATTTGGAGTTCAACATGAGAACATTTTCTGTACATGCGTTAAGCAGCTCCCTTGGTTCTAGTGCCTACCTGATAGTGTCTGTCTGCTACTTTGTTTTCCCCATTTGATACATTCCTTAACTGTGATATTTTGGTATCTTAAGATGAACACTGAGTATAAAGCTGTGCCATGGTGCAGCATGTCAGGGTGGGTGTGATTGGATGTACGTACCTGTATCAATAAAGAAGCATGCTGCCCCCTCGTGTGCCTGCTCCCTGTGCAAATTCAGCGAGGTAAAGGGGCTCTGCTGCTGGCGGGAAGCCTGGCTAGGGAGGATGGGGCAGCCAAAGGGCTTTTCAAACAAATAATGCAGAATGAGACAAAGTTGTACAAGAAGTGTGTGCTTTCCTCCAACTAACATCCAAAAATATGTCCCCAATGCTTGTATTACATGGCCATGGGACTTTGGGAGACCTAACTTAAGATGGTAAAGGTTCCTTTACTGCAGGACTAATCAGAATCCTCAGTCCTGGGCACCCTGGGTCTGTCTGGGGTGGAGGAAGTTGGGGAGCATCTGCTGACATCTTCTGCAGAGCTTTTTGCAGAGAACAGTCACGGATGGGGCTCTTCCTGTGGTAATGGGTTTCATTCAAGAGCACTAAGGGAAAAGGATTCGTTAAGGGGCACGTGAGAGGAAATAAAGGAAAATAACTGAGACCCTAGACGGGAAGCTGAATTCCCATCTGCCTCTCTCCAGCTTGTCCCACTGCTGCCCTGTCAGTGAGGCCCAGGCTGGATGAGGTCTGCTCGTCACAGCTCATTGAACCTTACCTGCTCCTGAAGAGCTAGCTCAGCCTGCTTTTAATGTGCTCAGGTCTGCCATGCCCATCAGACCAGTGCTGCCCAGCAGAGAACTCTTTGATGACAGAGTGTCTGGTATCTGCACTGTCCAGTAGAGTAGCTGCTAGTTACAGATAGGCCCTGAGCACTGAGCTATGGCTAGTGCAACTGAGGAATGGGACTTATAATTTTATTTAAGATTAAATAGCTAGTGGCCACATACTGGACAGAAGGCCAGGCTTGCAGGGCCTTGTCACCTGCTGCCCCTCCAGTGCCTCATGGATTGGACAGCACACAATGGGTGCTCAGGTGTTTGTGGAACAAATGAGGGTACCTATGAGGATATGTGAATTAATTTTGGGTAAATGACAGCATTTTTTGGGTCTTTAAATTCAGTGGTATCCTCTATGTCCTGGTAGTTATTTTTGGAAGTTTCACCTCCCTCAGCTGAAGAAGGGGCTGCTGTGCCTGGGACACAGGCTGCACCTGGAATACAGAGCTTGTGCTGGGGCAGGAGGTGAGCCAGCTTGGTGCCCTCCTTTACCCGTGGTGGTTCCTCGGGCCAGCGCTTCTCAAGCTGTGGGTTCCTGACAGCAGCAGCACTGGAAACTTGCTCAAAATATTCTCAGGGCCCCACTGCATTCCTGCTTACTGGGAAACCCAGGCAAGTCCTAGAAGCCGGCCAGGGTGTGAGAACCGCAGGGACTGGCTCCCTCCTGCCCTCCTAGCTCACTCTCCCAGGTGCCCCTACTTCTTAGGCATGCTAACCCCACATGCCACTCTTATGCACCTAATACCCTTGTGACTCCATTCTTACACACACTCTTCAAGAGTCTCCTTACATCTTCTCCAGTGAGTCATGCTCTGTGCTCCTCCAGGCCCTGCCCCTCCTTCCACATCACACTGCTGGCATTTGTCCTATGTACCAGAGTCTTGGCTCTTTCTGTGTAGAAGCCACTTGTATAGCTGTGTAGCCAGTGACTAGCATGGTATGCAGGTCCTGACAACACTGGATGACCGAATGCTACCTTTCACTTCACACATGCACTTTGGGAACAAATCTGTCATAGCATCAGATGCAACAGGAAGATGAACCAAGGATCCCTGCTAAGGCCATGGAGGCTTGTGACAAACTAAGATCACCTGTGAAATACATACCTCTATGTAAATGTAAGCCACATTGCTCAGTGAGGCAAGACAGCACACGCGTTAAGAGCAAGAAATCAAGTTAAGTTTTCGGTTCCCAGCTGGATGCCCTTGGACAAGCTGCTTGCTTTTTTCAGCCTCCACTTCTTCATGATTATTATGGAATCCCAGTACTCTCTGTGTCACAGGGTTGTCGTAATATTATGGCAGAAGCGTAGCACCCAGTTCATTAGGAGCAGTGGTAGCTGGGTACCTGTAGCGGCTCCCGGGGGGAAACGCAATGCCACCTCTCTTGCACAATCTTCTGGGAAAAGTGAAACAAAGGATTAAAAGCACCCTGTCAAAGGAATAACTGAAGTCCTGGTCAATACATATTCTAGCATTTCCAAAGAGTTGCTTCAGTGCTCAATTTAACCAGTATATAGACACATATGGGGAAAAATTCCCACAAATTTGGGATTCATAGCGACTTCCTAAATGAAAAACCTATAGGCTGTTAACCTTAGATCATAATGCATTTTCTACCGTTAGTCCCAAAAAGGAAGTCATGACACTGTAAGATGAAGAGCTGCCAAATCCCACCCCCACCTCCCACTCATCCCCAAACCAGTATACATCCCAGGACTCTCAGGCATGGATCTTGAGTAACAAACAATGTTGGGAAAACAATGTCAAGAATATAAGTTATACACCTGTCCATTTCTGAACGTGAAAGACTAAGTGCTTGTAAGCTGAAATCAACTGATAACAGTTATATAAAACTTCAAAATTCAAGGCAGAAACCCAGAGAGGTTAACGAAACTCTGAAGCCACCTTTTGTCCTGAAGGCAGGGACTGTGAGCTTCCGTTTTCATGTCCACAAGGGGGATGGATAGGAAAGAAAGCCCAGGGCCTGTGCAAGAAGAGAGGTCCTATAGGAGACCCTAGCCCAAAAGGCTGGCATCCCAAAGAACCACCCCTCAGTGAACTTGTAATACAATGCTCCACCCTCAACCCCACCAAGGGGGTTAAGGAAAATTGCCTGTTTTGAACCTTGGCACTGAATGCGGATGGAGAAAACCCTCAGCATTTATAACCACAAGTCAGTGTATTTCATTTATAGCACAAGTAACATTGGTCAAAAAAACTTTAAGCCAAGTATTTAGTTTAACATGGCCCTGAACTTCCCTAAATTACCCAGTAGAGGCAGACATTCTGACCTATATGCTAGTTTAAAAAGTCTCTCTTTAACTGTGTTTAATCTTCTGTTAAACCCACGTGTTGTATTTCAAAATTTGTTTTCATTTCTAGAAGAAATAGAAATCTTAACTAAGGAAATTACCAGAATGTAGCAAAGATTGGAAAACATGAAATAGGTTGAGACATGGAGGATATAACAGGTTTAACATATATTTTCAGAGTTATAGATGGAAAGAGAGAATGAGGCAGAGACACTAAAATTATAATAGCTGAGACTCTTCCCAAATTGATAACAGACAACAATCTGGGGGTGCTAAATGAATCTCAAGCAGGACTAGAAAAAAATTAATCCACACACAGACATATCATAGTGATACGTAACAGAAAAAGATGAGATCTTAAAGACTGCCTGCCAGGGAAAGATAAGGTTATTACCATCAAACAAGTATCAGTTGTTAAGCTGACAGCTCACTTCACAATAGAAATAACTGAAGCCAGAAAACAGTGGACTAATAACACCAGTGTTCTAACAGAAAATTTCCTAACCTAGAATTTTATGTTCTCCCAGAAACACTTTTTAAATGAGATAAAAGATATTTTTCAAACTGAAAGAGAGTTTGCTATCAGTGGCCCTTCACTAACAGAAATTCTGCAGGATGAATCTTGACTTAAAGCAGTACAATAAAGCACCTAACCAAATGTGAAACTTTCTTTTTACTTTGGAGCAGGCAAAGGTTTCTTAAATTGGACACCAAAATCAGTAGCCATAAAAGAAAGATAATTGATAAACTGGCCATTATTAAAATTAAGAACTTTTGTTTATTAACAGATATCATTAAGAAAAGGAAAAATAGTCCCGTCTGGGAGAAGATAATTCAATACATAGATATGACAAAAGATTAACATCCAGAATATAGAAATAACTCCTACAATCAATTTTTAAAAAAAGGCAATTTAAAAAAGGCAAAAAATCTTAGTAGGCATTTCACAAAAGAAGATATCCAAAAGGCCAATAAACTTATGAAAAGATATTTAATGCCATTCCCTGATGATGTTAAACTGAACATTTAAAATATTCCCTACAATAAAACCAAACTGAGATAACTGTACACACCCAACAGAAACTGAAGGATCTATATTAAAAACATTGAAAATACTGTGTTGGGGAAGATGTGAAGCAACTGGATCTCTCCTGTGTGACTGGTAGCATCAGTTATTTGAGAGGACTTAAAAAAATCTGCAAAACTCTGGCCAGACTAATCACAAAAAAAAAAGACCACAAACAAACAGTATCAAGAATGAAAGACACTATCACGACAGATCCTGCGCATGCATGTTCTACACAGAGTAAGAGGATATTGCAAACAACTTTGTACATTTCCTCTAAATTTTTAAGTTTACCACTATGAATTCCTAGAAAATTGTACCTTATCTAGAATAACTCAAAACTGACTATGAAAAACCCCAGAAAATCTGAATAGTTCTACAGTCATTAAATGAATTGAACCATTAGAAACATTCTCATATAGATTCTTACATAAATTTCCCATATAGAAAAGTTCACAACCAGGTGGTTTTCAGGCAGTTCTGCCAAATATTCAAGGGAGAAATAATTCGTCTTACAAAACTTTTCCAGAAACAGAGTAAGAACACCTGTAACTTATTTTTAAACTATCATAACCTTAACAAAAAAGTCCAACAAGGATGAGAAAGGACGGCAGAGGCAATCTCATGAAGAGATGGAAAACACCTGAAATACATATATACACCCACACCCACACAAATACATATACAGGCAGGCAAAGAATACTGTGTGTGTGTCCATATGCAAATCGATCCAACAATGTACAATAAGCACACAACATCATACCCCAACACAGATTGCAGTTTACCCCAGGAATGCAAGGGTACTTCAGAAAATTAATACAATTCATCAATTTAACATATTAAAGATGGAAAAAAATCTTACCTTCATCTCAACAGATAGTTAAGTTTTTGATAAATGTTCTCAAGCATGATAAAAACTCACCAAGTAGTAACAGAAGGTAACTTTGTGAACTTGATAGAAGGTGTTTACAAAAACTCCTCTGCAAATGCCATACTTACTGATGGAACACTGAGAGTGCTCCCCTTGATATCAGAAACGCGGGCAGAAAGCCCACTTTTATCACTTGCAGTCAACACTGCACAATAAATCCTAACCAGCAAAGAAAAATAAAGATTTAAAACTTGAAAAGAAACATAACTTTCACTTACATATGTTATGATCGTATAACAGAAAAAAATGCCAGAGAAACTAGAAATACATTATTAGAATTAAATGTTTTTGGCAAGGTTGCTCAACACAAAAGTTAACACACAAAAGTCAATTTGATTTCTAACCACAGTAACAATAAATATAAATAAAAGATAGCTACAATGGCATCAAAAAATGCAAAGGAAGAAAAACCTAAAAAATAATACATGTAAAAGTCCACTGTGCAAAGAAGTACAAAACTTAATTGAAAGACAGTTAATACCCTAAAGAGATATGTTGTTTGAAAGATTGGAGGACTCATATGATAAAAGATGTCAATTTTCCCAAGGTCAGCTTATAGATTCAGTGAGACTCCAATCAAATTCATACAAGTTTCCATGCAGCTTATTCCAAAATTTATGGAAGTACAAAGGCTACAAATAGCCATGACAATTTTTAACAGTGAGGTGAGTGGAATAGCTCTCAGAGATACCAACTTGTTTAAAGTTATGGTAATTCAGAACACAATGTAATGGCATGGTCACGTCGGCACCAATAAAAGCCAACTGAACAGACTGGAGTCCAGAATCAGACCTGTGCATGTGTGGACATCTGATGGGTGAGACTGGTTTTGCAGGTCAGTGGGCAAAGCATGGACCTTATAAGGTGACACTAGAGAAAAGTGAAATGTAATCCTTAGTCATGTCATAAATAAATATCTCTTCACTCAGGTTAAAGACGTAACAGGAAAATGCAAAGCTGTGTATGAGATATTCTGAAGATAATATGAAAAAGGGCTTTAAGATACACAAGGGCTTTAAGATATCTTTTCCCATTTATAAGGTAATTAGTCAATAATAAAGAGTAGATACAAAAAGGAAAAAGATCAGTCACATTAAAGTTAATTTTTATTCATCAAAAAGTACCATCAAGAATGGGAAAAGGCAAGCCACATCCTGGGAGAAGATATTTGCAAACATTCAACTAACAAGAATTAGTATCCAGAATATGTGCAGAATTCCTGTGAACTGATAAAAAGGGGCAAAAGACTGGAGATGAAAATCATAACTGCAGTTCATGCCTAAAGCCCACTAGATTAGCAAGAATTAACAAAGCTGACAAAATGAGGTATTGCCAAGGATGCAAAGTGAACCCTCTCACAGGGCTAGAGGTGGTCCATGTTGGAAAGTTAAGTTGCATGTGCACACAACTGATGACCTAGCATTATTATTCCTAGAAATTCTTACACACTTGCAAGAGACATGTAAAGCAGTATTCATGACAACACTGCACAACAGCAAACAACTATGAGCACCCCAAATTTATGAACAGAATGAGTAGTGTAAGATATTCATACAGTGGAATATCAGTTTTAATTTATAAACTATATAAATTTATACATTGATAAATTAATACTAGTCATAACATGGGTGAACCTCAAAAACATAATACTGAATGGAAGAGAATATATAATGAAATAGTATGTATGTAAATTCAAAAACAGGCAAAATAATCTATTGAGTAGAGATATATGCATGGTTGGAAACAAGTGAAAAATTTTAAAAAATCAAGACAGTGACTACTATGGAGACTGGGTATGTGACCAAGGAGGGGCACACAGAGGCCTTTCACTGGTTATGTTCTATCTATATCTTAATCTGGGTAGCTGGTGAACTGGTGTTTGCTTTATTATTCTTTAAATTACACAGTTACATGTTACACATTTTTCTGCATATTTTACAACAGAAAGAAATTAATTTAGCACATTTTCATCGAACTTTTGGTAATAAAATACTTTATTGGTACCATTTAATGTCAGAAACAGTTTTAAATGTTTACATTGTTTAGCTTCCATCTTTAAATTAAAAGCTAGTTTAAAAAAATAGGAGAAAAGGTCAAATCACTTGATCCTGTCAAAAAACGAGGCTGCAACGTACCTTTGCAAATAAAACATTTGCAAATAACTGGTTCTCTCACTTGAAATACTTTAATTCACTGGTCTTCATAAATAATTGTATATAAAAGGAGACAATGGCCTGAATATTTTGCAGAGAATATTCTACACATGTTAAAAAACAAGTCTAAGTTTACCCCAACTTAAAACTTTTAAGAATAATTAGTAAGGATTATTGTAAAATTGTATTCATGTAGCACCAAGAAATTTGGGATTTGTAGTATTTCAGATGATATGATTTACTGAACAAAAAGCATAATGAGTTTTCTTCTGTGAATTTTCAAGGGTTTATATATAAATAGAAAGAAGACAATATAGGTCCCTTTTAAAAGCAGAAGTTCAAAAATCTATGCATGCCTTTTACCGTATCTCCAATTTCTAGGTCTAGCAATTGACCACATGGTAAAAGATCCAGGTGTGATAAATAACATAGTATAGTTCTATCTGAATATAATTTATTATTCATCTTGTCTCATTAATATAATTTATACCTCAATTAAAGCATCATTCTATCTGCAAGTAATATATTTCTCTAAAATATTTTGTAATTCATATTTCCATTCAGACTACCTACCTCTTGTTTTTCTCAAATCAGTGTGATCTTATGGTATACCTCATTAAGTTGTTTTTTCTCCCTTCAGTGAAACTCTCTCTCAAAGTTTTATAATATTGCAAATACAGATGTAGCATATATTAACATATTAGAAATAAAAGGATAATAAATACATATGGATTCATGCTAAATGAGACTATGCAAAGCAAAAAACCACAAGACAATGTCTGCTCATCCACTCTGAGCCACCACAAGAAGGCCTTCATAGAGCCCTGATCACATGAACTGATGTTCTCAGGCACATCCTAGCGTCCTGAAATCCAATACAGTTAAATGTTCTATCAAAGACAGTTCCATGTTTATTCCTTTTTGTTCAAAAGAGTCTACAACAACTTTGACTACTAATCCTCAACATGACGGTAAAGTAATAACACATTATATTTTTAATCAGGTCACAGATTCTAACCTATGTATTTTCTTCTATTACCTATTTGTTTAAAAATAGACATTCTAGAGGCTAAGCAACATTAAGGGGTTTTTGTTTCTGCCTTCTCGATTGGTGGTGGATTTTAGATGTGTCATTTATTTATCCTCTGCTTCAGAGAAAAAGGATTCTTCAAGTAATTGACCAAAGGTCTTCATTTAAAAATCATGCAGGTTGGTTGACCCAGGGGTTGGCAGGTGAAGAGCACTTGTCCATGCACCCCCTCCACAGCTCTCCATCCTCTATAAGGAATGGCTGCTCCTAACCCTCCACGAGCAGAACATATTCCATTCCTCTGTTCCGATGCAATCAGGACACATCAGAATGTGGGTGCACGGCAGAAACTAACTCAAAACTATTTGGGGACAAACTCTGGATTTTGATTTGTCATTCCAAAGTGCAGTTCTCTCATGAAACAGAGGCTTTGCATTGAAACGCTTGCTTTTCTTCTTGTATGAAGTTAAATTGCTAAAGTAATGTCAGAAAGAACACAAAAGATGAGCATGTGTTCTGTGAAAGAGGCACTGCGTCTGGAATCGGAATTAAGGCTAAATAAATAGAGCTGGTTTGTGGTTCAGACAAATGTGTCAATGATTACGTTAACCAACTTCACTATTCGTCCTGTATGCCTGCTTGTGAAGATGCATCTCTATCTCCTCCCTGAAGACCAGCATCCCCAGATGTGAGTGAGAGGCCTCATTCATAGCTTTAGACTGAATGCACATGCGGTACTGCTCCGGGGTCAGCTCATCAGCACAGCGTTTCTCATGCCAGAGGTGGAAAAGACCAGGTACTGGAGTCCGAATCACAATCAGGTCACCATGTAAGTATTTTCGATAAAGATGAACATCTTCTCCACCCCAACCTTTCACTTCCATGTCAAATCCACCTGCAGGATCAAAATTGACACTATAAGTAAGTGTCTGGCAGCCAGAGCATGGCCAAACCTGACAAAGATTGCAATGTTCTGCCTCAAATGAGATGACTCAGTACAACTCCAGGACACCTGATGTGGAGGACTGATGTCCTGGCTTGGAAGTCCAGGGACCAGCTGACATCTAGGAGCCCAAGTCTGTTTTTGAGATTATCAAAATGAGATAAAAGTATTTCAGAATGCTTTGCAAACTCCAAAGTTATAAAGAAAATCTATAGAAAGTCAAAGTCAAATATAAATCACCCATAATCTTACTGCCATTAATATTTTATTGTTTTCTAACCTTCTAGACACAGGATTTTCTGGGTCACAGAAAACTTCCCAGAGGTGAAAACAGAAGAAATGGCCAAGCTAGAGATATGTATTTGAGAATGGCACATGCATGATTTAAAGCCACTGGAGTGGATGAAGGAGTTTCGAAAGAAAACAGGGCCTAGTTCTAAATGCTAAGAAATGCCAACACATAGAGGTTAAACAGGCAGAAAAAGATAAGTCAGCCAAAGAGACTGAAAAATGTCCCCACAGAAGGGAGAAAATTCTGGAGAATGTGCTATCACAGTAGTCAAGTGAATAAAGTGTCTTGAGGAAGAATAGGTCAAGTGTGTGCTGTTCAATTAAGAGCTTATAAAGAAGCAAGTAGACCTGGTAACATAAATGTCATTTAAACTTTACCTAGAACAATTGGAACAATGGGGCAGAAGGCTCACTGGCGTGGGTGGACACAGGAAGTGGGAGGTAAAGTTGAGATTATTTTTACATTGATACAAGATCAACAATAAACTTTTTAAAGAAGTTTTAGAAAGAGCTAGAAAAGATTAACTGAGAAAACTATTAATTCTTTAATTAAGAGCTAGGTTTCCAAATTACATCTTCTGCCAAATAATTCTATGCCACTTAATTTTACACTCATAGGATGACAATAATTCTGATACCTCTAAACAGTATGAAATAGTCACAACTTTCCTAAATTCTATATTGGATACATCTTGGCTTTTTTTCCTTGTAGATATGAAAAAGCTCTTCAAATATCAGAGATGGCACAGATAACTAAATGAGGGACTTCTTTCTAGTTTCTAGTCCAGCATGTACAGAGTTTAGAGAAGAGTTTTAACAAGAAGTAAAAAACAGAACAAATTGAAAAATCAACAGTTCTCCTCAGATTTCGTAAAGAAATAAGGTCACAGGGCAAACTGCTACCCCAACGTTGGAGAGACAGATAGGTTAAGACAGAGTCACAATTATTAGAGCAGAAATCACTGTAAAAATTTCCAGGGAAACCAGTACTGAGGTAGGAAAATCTAAACTGTAGATATTTGGTGGGTACCTCTGAGAGCTACAAACTCCAGGGGGTCCAGTCATAGGAGGGCCCCTATGCTTTTCTGAGTTTTACCTCTAGGAGTCCTACCAGGTTCTCTCGCAAGGAAAACTGGAAAAAAAATCTCCCAGTGCTTCCAGCAGGGGGTGAGGGAAAGTAATCATTCTGAAATATGCCAGAATATTTTGCTCTTTTTAACAAGCCTTGCCCTCAAGAGTAAATATTTTGTCAGAGTCTAACCTATCTGGGGAAAGGGATATACCCAACTCCTCTCCCAGCTAACGTGAAGGGGAGTGTCTGAGAAACACTTGTGAAGTTCATGGTCCAGAGCACAGGCTCACTAAAGTACTGGGACCTAATCACAGGATCACAGAATGCTTCCTCTTCTCCTGCACCATACCACTACATTTCTAAAGGCCTATTTACTGCAGTTCCTTTTGCCCAATACACACCATGTTCAGCTATAAAGAAAAAGTTAGGCATACTAAAAGGCAAACAGTTTGGAGAGACAGAGCAAGCATTAGAACCAGACTCAGATACGTCAGGGATGTTGGAATTACCAGACTTGGACTTGAAACAACTATGATAAATATGCTAAGGACTATAACAGAAAAGGTACATGACATGTAAGAACAGATGGGTAATCTAAGCAGAGAGAGATTCTAAGAAAGAATCAAAAAGAAATGCTAAAGATAAAAATACAACAGAAACGAAGAATGCCTTTGAAGGGCTTAACAGTAGAGTGGTATTAGCTGAGGAAAGGATCTCTGAGGACAGGTCAAGAAACTTCGAAAACTAAAAAGCAAAGATAAAGAAGATTGGGTAAAACCCTTCAAACCCAGAAAAGAATATCCAAGAACTATGGCACAACTGCAAAATGTATAGGATAGGTGTAATAGGAATACCAGAAGGAGAGGAAATAAAAGGAACAGAAGCTCCAAATCAAAAAGGCCAAATTCTAAACAAGCTCTGCTGAGAGAGCAAGGGCTCCCTTCCTCCCCCAGCCCACAACTGCAGGGAAGAGCCTTCACCCAGGAGAGAGCCAGGCTCTCCTGTCCCTACTGTGTCCTGTTCATAAAGCAAGGTTGTCATTCTGAGAGACAATGAGAGCAGTGCCTCAGAAATTTTTTCCCAGGGGAAGAGGTGGTTCATAACAACCACCACTCTAAAGCTCTTCCCAAAGGAGCTGACTTTATTTGACACAGTGTGCAGAAGATTAAGCCTAAGGGGGGCTCATGTAAATAATGGAGATTTTCATTATAAGTAATTAATAAGAGGAGGCTGGTAGCTCTATTTGAGCAATAAGCTAAAATGTAGGCCAACTAGTTTACTACAAAGAAAGAAGGAAAGAGACAGCTAATAAGAGCCCTCCCGGGGTCTGAACAAGCCTGGAAGACTTGCCTCAAAAACTGCCCTGCTAAAGGGCTTGATTTAATGGGGTCAGACTATGAAGCAATTTATGCTCCAGAGCATCAACAGAAACAAGGAGCAATTACTGGAGCCTAACAGGTGGGAGTGATATCAACAGAGGCATGGAAAGAAACGGTAAAGGGGAGCCTTGCTCAATCTAATGCCATCCCAGGTGCACATGCCCTGAAAGGTGACACAAGAAGTGACAGAGTGGAGGTGGGGAGATGGAATTCACTGAAGTATAAAGCAGTAAAGCCAAGCCAACAAATAAACGAACAAGCAACAACAAAACCAAAGAACGGCCCTGGAGTCAGGGGGGAATTAATATCCAGAATTACCGTATTACTATCATCCAGTTTTCAAAAAAGAAATTATAAGACATGTAAAGAAGCAGAAAAGTGTAACCCATATACTCAAAAAAGAAAAAAGCAGGCAACAGAAACTGCCTGTGAGAGGGCCCAGATGTTGGTTTTGACAAACATTTCAAAACAACCATTACAAGTATGTCAAAAAATTTTTTAAAATCATGTTTAAAGTAACAGAAGGCAAGATGACAATGTTTCATCAAATAGAGAGTATTAATAAAGAGATATCAATTATAAACCCTTGAACAACAGGTTTCAACTGCATGGGTCCATTATATGCAGATTTTTCTTCAGTAAATATATTGGAAAAGTTTTTTGAGATTTGTGACAATTTGAAAAACGCACAGATGAACCACATATCAAAAAAAATTTAAGACAAAATTAGGTATGCCCAATACTGTATTATGAATATGACTAATACTACATGCCATGAACATTTCATAATGATTCCTTAGCTGTAGGCGAGGCTGCAGTGAAGTGATAGCATGATCACACTAGGCTGCTGTAAGCAGCCATACTGCTGTTCCTTCATTATCAGTGCATGAACTGCTATACCTGTAAAAAAAAGTGAATTTCACATTTTCTATTTACTGTCTAATAAGACATGTAACATCCAGTGTGTTTTGTATCATGTAAAATAATACTTATGTAGGTATTGACAGATGACTCTTCTTGTAAATAAAAGATGTGAACTTACAGTATTATAAATGTATTTTCTTTTCCTTATGTTTTCATTAACATTGTCTTTTCTCTAGCTTATTTTACTGTAAGAATAAATTATGTAATATATATAACATACAAAATATGTGTTAATCAACCATAGTATTATTGGTAAAGCTTCCAGTCAACAGTAGGCTAGTAGTAATTAAGTTTTTGGGGAGTCAGAAGTTTATGTACATTTTCAACTGTGTGGGGGCTCGGTCTCTCTAACTACTGTGTTGTTCAAGTGTCAATTGATAAAGAAATAAATAGAAATTCTAGAGTTAAAAATTGCAATAATTCAAATGAAAAATTCATTCAAGCAGCCCAATAGTGGAGATGAACAAAAGAATCAGCGAACTTGAAGATAGATCAATTTAGATTATGCAATCCAAAGAAAAGAGAGAAAAAGGATGAAGAAAAATGAACAGATTCTCACAGAAATGTGGTACACCATTAATTGTAGCAACTTATGTCTAATAGGAATCTAAGGAGAAAAAAATGAGAAAAGAACAGTGGGAAATAACAGGTGTCAGAAGACAGCAATGTATCCTTACTGTTTTATTATGTAAGAAATCAGGGAAAAGGGCATTCGTTTCCTTTAGTAGTCCTTTTATTGCTATTGGTTGATTTTCCATTATTCAAGTGTTATAAAGAGAGAAGGTGGAAGAATTTCCAAAGCAAATGGCTGATTATAAAAATGAATATGAGATGGACGTAGAAAGTACATAATATATACTCTTATTATAAAATATGTATATGAATACATATATGTATATATACAATACATAAAATATATAAAATATAATCTTACATCCTGTGGGAAAACAGCTACCAAATGAATCAGGAGACATGGAACTGGGTTTCAGCCTGCTTTCTTAAACTATGCTCTGGTACTTTATTTTTTGCTGGGTAAGGCTAATGCTGGGCTCGGGCAGGAAGCACAGACCAGATTGTTCATAGTTATCTTTGGTGTAGGGGAGAGGATGACTAGGCCATGTCCCCATCCAACTTCAACCAGAGCTACAAAGAACAGTTGTGTTTTCTATGTCTTTAATATTTGGATTTTTGCATAAGAGGTCGACAGATAATTAAAGCAGGTTTGATCTCTAAATAAAAAAATATATTAGCATGTATAATGTGGGGTGGGGCACAGGGAGGGCTGTGCAACACAGAGAAGACTAGCAGTGATTCTACAGCATCTTACTGTGCTGATGGGCAGTGACTGTATTGGGGTTTGTGGGGGGGGGCCATGGTGAAGGGGGGAGTCTAGTAAACGTAATGTTCTTCATGTAACTGTAGATTAATGATACCAAAAAAAATGAAAGCCCTTGGAGTAGATAATCTAACATTATTTCTAGCTGTAACAATGCAAGAGTCCAGCACCAAAAGTTATGTAGAGAGATCTTTTGTAGGAGTACTCGTAAGAACTACAAATATGGGTAACAAATCAAACAGATGTTTTTAAAAACTAGTGTTTTGATTTTAAAGAAACAAATAAATATTATATTATACTTTTATCTTTATGACTTCAGTTTTGCTAGCCAAAGATATTAACTATAAACTCACTTTGCTTTTCATATCTCCAGACTCCTCTTTTCAGCTAATTTCAGACACTCATAATTTAATAGGAAAACACTCAAATCTGAAACCTTTTAGAAAAATGCTACAAGGTGCTACAGTAAATATGTGAAGTCCTATCCTTAAATGTAAGGTATACTTACCAATGGTCAGAAAATCTGATCGATATTGACAAGTCATTCCAAAGCCAAAATCTCGCCAAAAACCAGAATCCTTTTTATGAACCTTAAGTTAAAAAAAATTTTTTTTAAATTTAATTCCAAGAACTAGAAGTTTTAATTAACAATGCTCTACCTTTTAGCTCCACACACATTGCCTCAGCCTGCAGGCCAATCCTGCAGGGGGTGCCTACTGCTTAGCACAGCCCAGAGAAGCACACACACTCCACCACTCTGCCTTCAATGAACTCAGAGGATGCAAAGCAATGCCATCTTCAGTGCTCTCCCGAACACGTTCCAGTCTGTCCTCTCCTCCATCAGTCCTGTGCCAAATACTGCCACCTTAGAGAAATTTCTCGAAATTTAGATATTTTAGTGACACCACTCTCATTTTCTAATACTGATACATCTTTTTCTTTTTAATAATTGATTTTTACAGAGAATTTAGGGTGTCAGATAATGCAGATGTGGGTGCTTGGGTTGCCATTTTTGATTCGATTATATTCTATATTCTTAAGTAACAGTGGCCTACAGATGTGTACCTGCTTTGCTGGGTATTGGTATGAATATAATGCTGGCCTCATGAACTAATTATGTATTAAGGAGATTATATGGCACTAATATTACCTGTTCTTGGAAAGTGTGGAGAAACTCACCAGTAAAACATTATATGTATGTACCTGCAGGGTGATTTTTTGATAACTGTTTTAATTTTTAAAGCAGCTCTTAGTATCTTGAGCTTCCACCTCTTTAAATTTATAAAATATTACTAACATGAGTTTTTATAAAATACTAATACAAACTTAGCTCATGTTAATAGTTTATACATTTAAAAATTTTTCATTTTATTTAGAATGTTTTAAACTTATCATATAAAATAGATTTTTCTCAATGTTTTATTATTCTAATTGCCAATGTTTTGTTTTCCTTTTTACCCTGAACCTGCCCACTTTATGATTAAAAATCAACATTAACTTATTCATTTTGACAAATGTACCATGGTTAGAAAGATGTTAATATTAGGGGAGAATGGGTGATGTACAGAAATGCTCTATACTACCCTATAACTTTTCTGTAAATCTAAATTATTCTAACATAGTAAGTTTATTAAAAAATTTTAAAAGACTTATGTAAGTATAACCTTGTCAATAATTATAAGTTCTGGCATGTGGCATTCCCATGCCATGACTTTCTGCATAGGATATTATTCTTTCTTAGTTATTTAGTAGTTTCTAACTTCCAGTTAACCAGTTTTTTAAAATTAAAATTTACTTTTAGTATTACTAAAAATATGTTGGCAGAAATGACTACAACTTTCACATTCTTTGTAGCCTCAACTTTTTTTTCTCATCCAGAATGACCCTTAATTCTAAAACAGTAAATGTGAAAAGCATTTTATTGGGGGGTGGGGTGTGAAAGAGACTATGAAAATGTGTTTATAATACCTAAAGTTTTCTACTTGTGAACAGGCATAAAGGGAACTTGCAAGCGTCTGTGGGCCTTTCATAACTGCCAAGAGTCTTACCAGCTGCTGCTCCACAGGCGGCGGTACTTCCTGATTGGCATACACAATGGCAGGGTTGTAAAGACTGAATACCACAGGGTAAAACACCTTCTTACCTATAAGTCAAAATATATGTTTACATCACACAAAGAAGTCATGAAATGAAGGAGTGATACGTATTCAATTTCTGTCAATATTTTGTTCAAGTCTTTCTTTGATCACGTATGATGATTTTATTTTATCAATATTGTATTTTATCAATAGGCTACTGAATATCATTCTGATCTGATGCATGTGATGATGACTGTAACATCAGTAGGTCAGGATATGAAACTATAAACTTGAAAAAGCAGAGAAAGGAATAGCCTAAAAGGTGCACCACATATTTATTCCTTTGACTTTGGGGAGATGCACAAAGGTATTCTCTCAGCTATTCACTAGGGGAGCTATTTATCACTTATTATTTCATCTAATTAGCAGTTGTAGATATAGATGAACCTCTGACAATCGCTAAGAAACTTAGAAACTTCTGTTAAACTTACCATTCAAAATGAATAATAGAAACAGTATATCCAAAGAATACTGTACAGTAAGTATTTGGAGAATGAATAAAATATAGAATTACAGGTAAATTTGAATAAGATTTGGAAAAGTTGGGAAGATAAAAGCTAAAGGACCTGATGGAAAGCTTTGGCAGAAGGCCTTGTCACAAGCATTCAAACCGATGGCACTGATGGAACCTTAAAGGTTCACCCAGTAGCCCATCCACCTCAGGAGAGCACCTCTTGCTAAGACTGGCTCAGTCAGCCGTGGTAGCGTAAAGCACTGTGCTTGTGAAGTGCTCTATAGGTGATGTGGCAGGGTTTTTATTAAAAAATCCTATAATGCTCATCTTACTTTCCTTAAAACCCACTTAGAGGACAGGGAGCTCAATTTCCCAGAGGCAAATTATTTCTGGACATAAAATTTTTTTTTTTACATTGAACAAATATATTCCCTTCAGCTTCCACATTGTGAACTTCATGCTGTCTGGTGAAACAGAATTAAACCTAACCCTCATTACACTCTAGGTTCTAGAGAGTTCCTGACAACTATCTTTAACACAACTGACTAGTAAGGTACTCATTTGCAAGGTATGGATAGTTCTACATCAAAAACATTAACTATGATATTTTTTTAATACAGAAAACTTCCTTTTCACATTTAAAGTAAGATTTTATTTCTAAAAGTATCATTTGTTCATACATTTTCAAAAAATATCTACAACATCAGCAAATGTACAGTCCAGAGACCAAGCACTAGCTGTCCCTAGCCGTCTGGGTATGGGTGCCATCTGCCTGAGACAGTATGATTCTGACTCACACATCTCCATACTGTCTGCTCAGCTTCTTCTGACAATGTTGCTTCCTCCTTGTCAACTTCAAGATCTTTTACTTCTCTGCATTTGTTTATTTGGATTCAATGTAGACATTGAAATTTACCCACAAGAGAACAAGGGATATGAACTTCAGAGGGGCAAAGTTTCACTTTTCTACTTAATATTCCAGTTAAATCATGCCTAACATAACTTAAAAAAAATAATTAACTTGATTCAAAATACGGGACATGCTGTCACTGTTCCAAATTCTGCACTCAACTTATCTACCAACATTTCACGCACCTGGCTCAGCATTTAACCGGCAGCTGTTAAGGAATTCAGCTGAGAAATATATATCAACATCACAGAAAAACATCAAGACCTCTCCTTTGTCCCAAGCTCGGGCACCCACATTTAGTCCTCGTCCGCGATTAAATTCTTCATTCAGTGAGACCAACGTGTAATTGTGAAAACTAGACTCACTAGGAGGAAAGCACAACACATGGTAAGTCCCCCTTAAACAACTCTTTTCCTTCAACACAACTTACAAAATATGTTTTACATTTCAGGCATTTTATTACGTTGGTTCTACCTTCATACAAGGAAAGGATGTCACCAGCTTCATACATCTGATCATCACCAGGGGCTGATACTCATTAAGTACCCATATTTGAGGCAAGATGCTGCTCATGTGAGGTTTAAAGTGTGGAGGGTCCATGGCCCTTCAGGATCTTTAAAACCTACTGCAGAGGTAAGACGTGCACACGTGGTCCTCGGTAAGAAATAAAACATTCCACATGATACATACAAAGAGTGCTCTTGCTCTCAAGTTCTTCAGGTTTTTGTTCAAATGTCCCTTATCAGGGACCCCCTCACTTCACATGTGCAACAGCCCCGACCTCCCTTCCTTTAACCTCTATCCCCTGCCCAGCTTTGTTTTCCTCAGGACCACACACGTCTGTTCAAGTGTCTCTCCCCCTGGAAGGTGGGCTCCATGAGAGCAGGGATTTTTTTTTGCTTGTTACTATGGACACAGTGCCCCTCTTCATGAAGTAGGAATTCAATACATATTTTCTGAATAAATGAATGAACAGCAGTTCTGAGAAAAAAGACTGCTTTTGTTTGGAGTAGTTAGAGAAGATGTTAGAAGAAAAATTTATTATGCTTTGGTTAAAATCCTCAGTTCAATGATGAGTGTAAAGGTCATTCCAATTATTCTCAAAGGCCAAGAGGTAAGAAAGAAGAAAGTATTTTAAAGAACAGGGATAAGAAAAATCAGACTGGAACAGAGGGATCCTAAAATACGAACAAGAGAAGTCCAGAAAAGGAGAAATTAAAGAACTTGGTCAGTGTCCTAAAGGCAAGGGTGGTTCTCACAGTGAAGTCCCCATACCCACAATACCAGCTCCCCCTGGGAATGTGTTAGAAATGAGAATTCCCACCCCCACCCTGAACCAGATACTGGGGTGAAGCTGAGCATCTGTGTGTCTCTCTTGGGATAAGTCACTCCATGTGATGCTGATGTTAAAGCTGGAGATTACTTTTACAGAGTGTAGAATAGGAAACAGAGAGATGGAAGCAAAGATGCAAATAGCACATGGAGCAGACTCCAAGTTCTCTGAGTGCCCATGCTCGCCTTCTTATGGGATATAAATCTCCCCCTTCTTTTAGAGAAACTGCTAATCACCACCTCAACTTCCAGAACCAAGTGGAGGAACTAATCACAGAGCACCCAACCACCATAATTTCCTAGGGGTGGAAACCCAGACTCAAGCTGGGCCAATCACAATACACCCACTCCACCGGGCCACAGTGACTGGCTCAAGAGTGGGCAAAAGTCCTTCCTTCAGATTTTCTCAACTGGATCTGGGAGAAAGCTCTTTCCTCTCTGATGGCAAAGCTGAGAAGATGAGCCCAAAGCCGCCAACAGCCATATACCTCACATGTAGGGGAAGCCAATCGCAACAGGAGAATGAAGTGAACATGCAGAGAAAAACTGACAACATGACAACAAGAGAATTTGATGGTATTCAAGTGTCTATGCCTAGCCCCCATGATACTAAAGCTGTTTTGGTTGTCTTCCCCAAATTTGGTTGTAATAATCCCTTTAATTTTGGGAGTTATCTAAGATCCTTTAATAATGCTGCCTTTTTCCTTAAGCAAGTTCAATATAGGTATCCATCATTTGCCACAGAGGAGTCTGGGTTAATGCAGGATTAAGTACAGTGATACCAATGTGCGTACTTGGCATTTAGGTGGCCTAAAGATGGTACGGAGGGAAGGACAGAGGAAGGAAAAGCCTGGGCTAGGGTGGTGGCAGCAAGGAAAGGACAGAAAGGTCCTGTGCAGTGAGCAGGCGCTGGCTAATTAGAGGCAAAGAGTGAGTGAGTGACACTGTCTCTCAGACATGAAGCCCAGGGGATCATGAGAATGGGCTTTGAACAAAAAAAGGGCCTTCAGGAGGAGGACACAGTGCAGGGGGAGGAGAAGGCAATGTTTGTTTTTTATACACCGATGCTGTGAGCATCCCTTTGGATATGGACAGTAATCCCTCCTCTGTGCCAACCCCCCAGGTCAGACTCCCAAGCAGTGTACCTGGAACATAGTCGGTGGGACTCAATGAATGTTAGTTGAACGATTCGAGAAGAATGGCCGGCCAAATCTGGACTCTTAGGGAATGGCCACAACTAGCAGAAAGGTAAAGAAGCAAGTAAAGGATACAGAGTTGGTGTGGTCAGAGAAGACAATCAACCTAATATCTTACATTATAACATACTTATATTTATGAAATATTTACCTTTTACAAACATCAGAGGAACATTTCAGGAAAGAAGTACTGGTTAGGCATCAAATGTAAGAAAGTGATCAAAGAAGATGACAGAGAAAAGGCTGAATTTGGCGATTAAGTCGTTACTTTGGGCCTGTAACTTAGAGATGAAAGGCTGAGAAGCTACAGATTAATAATTGGGTGTTAAGGAACTACTAATTCATTCATTCAAATCTCTGAGCACCTACTATGTGCCAGGTACTACACGAATTGCTTGGTTAGAGAACAAATGTTCTGTGAGGTTTAGCTGTGAAAGGACAGAAACCTAACAGCAGCTCCTGGGTACTGTGGAGTCAGGTGCGGGTTTAAGGAGAGGAGAGACCTCAGCATCATTTGCAGGGTGAGAAGGAACCTGGAGAAACAGAAGTCAAGAAAGGTGAGAGACAAGTTCAGGAGATGATACCAAGTGAAGGAAATAGATTTAGGAAAAGGGAAAGAATTCAAGGAGGAAATGAAGAATAATAAATGGAGGCAAATATACAGACGGTAAGTGGGCCACAGAGTGAGAGCATCCTTATCATGCCAGGCTGTCTGCTAAGAGGTTAAGGTACAATGAGTCATTCTGAGTTGCATGAGTAAACCTAAGGGTGAAATGAGGAATTTACTATCACCACCACTCACATGCTTCACTAAGTTTTAAACAGCAGCTATTCAAAATTATTAACTCATTAAATATCTGAAATTCTCATTCTTTGAATGTTAAGTATTAAGGGCTTCAATGTGGACACAGCTTATCAACCTTGTGACAGATTCTAGGATAGACTTGACTTTAGATAGTCCTTCTTTCCCGAAATACACCACTGTGAGGTGAATTCTCTTGTCCTGATGAATACATACATTCCTAAAAGAAATGAAAAATAAATTTTGTTAAAGAAAATATAAAAGAAAGCAATCACATGAACTTTAACAAGAAAACCAATGAGGCATTACTCATTTAGAATGAAATCACACAAAGCTTTAAGTAAATACAAAAGTAGTGACATTGTTCAATTATTAAAGGTGTCACAGCAAATGCATAACCACATGCATGCCAAAGTGAATGCAGCCCTCGGAGGGCCATGGAAACACTCCAAGAAGGTGCCATCTTTCAAAACATTTTTGGAGCTTTTGTTTTCTATTGCCTTCAGAAGCAAATTAGAAGCTACTTAAGGAAGTAAGTGCAATCAGTTCAAAGCCAAGCAAATAAATATTCAAGTTTTGGGTCAAAAGTTATTTTGTCTTCAAACTGGCTAATTCCAGAAATTGTACTGATCATGAAGGAGTAAGTATTTGCCATGACTGAAACTACTTACTGTAAAGGGTAATATAGCATCTCAAGGCAATTCCAAGAAAGGCAATAAAAAAAATGTTTTAAGAAATCAGATCTCAAGCAAGCTATTTTAAACAGGCAAAACTCGTTTGCATGACTTCTAGATGTTCTGCTACAGAACAGTGTTAATTTTTAGATCCAACAATTTTCAATATGAGAATAAAGACTGGGATTATAGAGCATTAAAACTAGCATATTAAAGTATTAAAAACATGGCAATTTTTAAATTAAAACAGCAAAACTTTCCTGAAATAATTACCCTAATATATAGTTGTTAATTCTTTAACATTTCAGTATTTAAAAATATCCAAATGTAATGTAATAAAAAAATTTTTTATTGCTAGTCTCTACTTCCCAAGATATAATAATTTTTTCATTTTTTAGCTGAATTTCTGTTTACTTCAATTTTAAAATTCAAATTATTTTCAAGGGAATTTTCTGGGGAGATAGCGATGTTCTGTATCTATTGTCAGTAACACAACATGCATACACTGTAAGAAATGGAAGAATGTCAAAAAATAAAGCTCCTCAAAACCCATAAAATTATTCTGTAATTCTAAATAATCATACTCAATGAAGATAAATTAAGTAAATCACTATGAAATGTGATTTTTCAAAAGAAGTACTTAACCAAATTATTAAGCCTTGAGAGTTACCTGAAGTTCTGCATAAACTGTACAAATGCTTCAGTTCTTTCAGCAAGTGGCACAATGATATTAATAATTGATCTACTAATGTCAATCATTTCGCTCTTCACTTTCATGAGAGGTCCAAAAGGGCGGAAGAGGGTCACATGTCTATATTCCATAAAGTCTGCTTTCTTAAAAAAGAGTTCATACTGTGTGCCCTTATCTTTCTCGGTACGATAATAACCTAAAGGAAAGAGTTGGGGACAAAAGGGTCTCCATGTCAAAGTTTACAAACTCAATATGAGTACTGAGTTTACTCAAAGATCAAAAGTATAAATAAAACCAGACCTGTAGGGCTTTTAATCTATTTGCAAAAGTATTTATCCCCACTGTAAGGCGACAACTGGTTCTTTTAAAGAAGAGGCTAAAAAAGTATTCACTGCTCTATCATTCAAGCCAAAAAGTCAGCTCCAAATGACAATTATTTATTTTTCATATGACTTTTTAATAGTAGAGCCTGTCAACACAGTAAGCATATGATGAAAATAAAGAAATTCCTACTAGCAATATTAAATTCTAGACCCAATAGTCAAAACTTCTATTGCTTAGTTCAGTTCAACAATGAATTGAGTGCCTTTGTGTCAGTCACTGGTAGTATAAAGAGGGCTACATGGTCCTGGTTTTGAGGAAGGGTCAGTCTAATGAGGCAGACAAGTAAATAAAGAAGACAATACAGTGGTATATGTATATTGCTCTATACACATACATGCACTGAATAAAGTCAGGCAAAGAAAAAGTGGTATAGATTTAAACATGGTGATTTGAGATGCCGTTGAGAGAAAAGTATGGAAGTCTACTAGGCAATCTGATTTTTAAGTGTGACACTCAGGACAGTTAGTATATGGTAATGAAACAGTGAAAAAGATAGACCAGTCCCACTCTTCCTGAGGCTTACAGTCAAACATGAACTACAAATCAGGGAATGGGCATTACCATTTGCTATGATAAGAGCTATGAGAAGGGATGGAGAAAGCACAACCATCTTAGACTTGCAGGTTGGAGAAAATCCCCTTGAAGAAATCACATCTAAGCTAGAATCTGGAAGAGGAATAAGAGTTACTCAGTCGTCATCGATTATTTTTTTGGTGTGGGGAATGGCAGAGTGGAGGAAAAGTAAGAGACAAGTATGTTCCATGTAGAGAAAAATCCTGTAAGTGACAGAATCCAAAAAGTTATATGACACACAGAAACATAGTTTATAAAGCAGGATAGATTTCTTTCTTTAAGGCAGACATGAAGACATTTTACACTTAGTTATCTATTTCCTCTGCAGCTTTCAATTCTGCTGTTAGTTACACAGAGTGAAAAGAAAAAAGCGGAGCTTGCAGAAAAATTAGAGTTCTGAGAGAAACAACCCATCAAAAATTGCAGGAAGTGACAGCAGAAAAAAAAGAGGTGGTTACAATGAGAACACAGCTGAATTGCCACAGAAATGCGCAATGCCCTCCCTGATGGCCTCCAATAGTATTATATTAGAGTACAGCAAGAGAAATCTGTGATGACTTGGAGTTAAGAAAAAAACCACATGTGGTATACTGTTTATAGAATCAAGAAAGAGAACTTTTAAAAAGATTTCTTTAAAAAATAGTTTTAAGTCTGTAGTTAAATATCTAGCAGAGGGTATTAAGATGGAGATGGGTGGGAATTTATTATTATTTCTGTTTATATCAATTAACAAATACCTTAAATTTATAGAAGTATTCTTCAGCTTTTGAGTCATGCCCCATTTTGATATATAAAAATGCCACGCCCTTTCTGCAGTCTCTATTAGGAAAATAGGTCATTTCTTTACTTTTTCAATTGCCAAATATACTTTTTTAAATGCTCCTTGATGTTCTGACATGTGCTTTTCCTCTCCCATAAATATAGAACAATCACTAATCTACTCAATTGGGTTTTTGTTTTTCCTCTATCAAATGGTTTTCAAATCTTGAGCCTTAGCTCATAAATTTTAGAAAATATAAAAAGGGAACATCAAGCCCAGATAAAAGAGGAATGCAAATACATACAAAATACATACACATGCAAATACACAGCCCTAAGAGCCCTTCAACTTGGATAGGATTTTTCTATGTAAGCTTACATTTATTCTATTTCCCTGGTCCTTACTATTTTATTATGATCACATCATCACTTTTTTCCAAAAGCCACTTCAAATTCTTGGTAGAATGAAGTGGGTAGAATCTTAAATGTTTCAATACTGTGGATAATGACTGACTTATATTATCACCTGCATATATAAAAGCACTTTGTCATACTAACATAACTATGGACCAACACATATTTCACATTACCTTCTACGAAGTCATTTTCATTAAATATGAGCTTCTCTCCAAGGGGACCATCTTCATCTTCCTGTTCATCATCTTCATCAGGACTATTGATCACCTCTAAGCCAGCTTCAATGACTTCTACCAATTCATCTCGCTTGTCTTTTCTAACTGGCTTTTCCTCAGGATGGCGTGTGAGACCCATTTCCAACTGGAATACTTTCATTAAGGTAAAACTTTCAAATGGAATGACTCCATACTCATTAGGTAGTTTGGCTCCTATGCTAACTTCAGCTTTGTCAATTTGAGAATGAAGAAACTCCAAGAGATCACTAGGTGCTTGTTCTTTGTTGCCCTGATAGCCTATGCCATTAGCCCCTATATTCTTCCTCTCTTGCAATGATCTCATCTTCTCACTCATTTCTTGTAATTCTTGTTTTAGTTGGGCAATTTGGCGTTTCAGACTGTTTGCCCTGGTTTGATAATGTTCTTCTTGCTCCTGTAGGAGGGCTTGATAATATTCTTTACCATAATTTTCCCCAATGACACCAGGAAGAGATGCATTGCCATCAGTCTGGGGGGCACATTCCAGAAGGTACAAAAATAATATCAAACTGCAGAGTAAAGCAAGACCCAACAAAAGCCAGTGGGTCCGGGTCTGGAGAATTAATCCTCTTCTAGGCATTCTTACTAATGTGGACTTGCCTGATAAGGTAAGTTCTTTGCTTGTTCATACCTTTAGCAAGAGATTATCAAAAACTGAAAACAAGATCAGGATTTCCATAAAAATACCAAAATGAATTCTGTTGCAGTGTGAAAAAATTTCTTCCTTCAGCAGTGATGACTACTTGCAGAAATGAGAAATAATGCATACATCCTGTATTGTTACCATGATATCCAGAATAAAGAAATCTGATCTATGCAATCACATAAAATTCCATTATACAGGTGGTGACTTTTCTGAAAGAAACAAATCAGAATCAATCAGAATTTTGTTTCCTTGAGTATATCAAATTGTTGATAGTGTCAGTAAACTTAGCTATATGACTAGTACATGAAGAGTCCAGAAGAAGTGTTAATACAATGTAAAATATTCAGTACATGGGACAAAGTATTAAGAAAAACGTCTTACAAAACATTAAAATATTAAGTAATACTTTTAACCAGAATGTCTACATATCCAACCTCTTGAATGAATCAAAGAAACTTTAAAATTATGTTTAGGATAGCTTATGTTAGTTACATAAATTCTACTGTTCTCTAATTATTTGAGAATTATATAACTTATAATTCTTTACTAACATATTTTGATTAACATGCTATTTCCCACCTACAGGATATCACCATTGAGAACTGTGTTGTTATAAATTGTTTTTGCTATATTGATAGTGGCTTATTAGTGAGAGATATTTTCTTCCAGTTTATTCAATTCAAGCATTCTACTTTATTAATTTCTATGGCTCAACTCCATCAATATAAGAGCCTTAATATTAAGTGGGAGGAAAAACAATTTCAAAAGGTCACTGACATCTGGAAAACACATTAAGAAACATTTTACATCCAAAGTTATCCAGTAGATCATTTGAGCATTAGATCACATAATTCTTTCCACTCTATTACATAGCAAAAGATTTCCTACAAGTCTGAGAAGGTTTACAGTCTGTATAAAGAAAAAAACATGAACATTTTAATATTTGTCTACACAGAAAAAAATTAAAAAGTTTATAAATTTACAAAATTACATGCTATCATTTATACCAGAACCAGCTGCGTGAGCTCCTCTGTGTTTCTTTCTAAACTAAGGATCCTTAATTCTAGCAGTAGAAGTTAACTTAGGAGACAGGAGGCAGAGGAGGCCTCGGCTGCAGAGAGAACTTCCATTCTAAAGAAATATTTGCCAGGAAGGATATGTAATACTTTAACCGAGATGATTTCTGCAGTGCAGCACCAACCTATGGAAGATCACTTGGGAGCATCAGTCCCAGTCAGTTTCTTAATGATTAGGAAAGTCTGGATGTGTCTGTGAAAAATGCAGCAATGTATTTTTTGTGACACATAACTGTCTAAAATGTAAGACAGATTCAAACTTATGTCTAGCAGACCACAAACAATGTACTTAACTATCCTTAGCCATTTATTACTCTATTTAACCAAATGATAATTAAGTATTCTGAAAAATTTAAGTCACCACAGGAAGTTTTACTATGACTGTAAATCTTGTTTTAAGTGATGTAAAAGAACAACAGGAAAAAAAATATGGTATTAAGAAAACCCTCTAGTTAAAAAATAGGGATGCAAAGCGAGTAAAACTAGGAGGATTTTACCATGCCTCAAAACCATAAGAAACCCCTGAATCTCATTATTTAAAAGATAATGAGAAACCAAGAAATCATTTGGTATTTGTCTTTCTCCGCTTGGCTTATTTCACTGAGCATAATACCCTCTAGCTCCATCCATGTTGTTGCAAATGGGAGGATTTCTTTTCTTCTTATGGCTGAATAA